CCGCTCTCGCCAGCAGGACCCGGGATCCAGCCCCACGACATGGCTGCCCTGGCCCAGGAACTGGGCACGGCGTTCTTCCAACAGCAGCAGCTCCCCGCCTCCATGGCCGACACATTTTTGGAGCACCTGTGCCTGCTGGATATTGACTCCGAGCCCATCACCGCCCGGAGCACCAGCATCGTCTGCACCATTGGTGAGGGGGGGTCGCTTGGAGGCGAAATGCATTATGGGGAAGACGGGACCGGCACACACCTCCCTCGGTGGTCCCTGGGCAATTTTGCAAGGAGGATGCTTTGGGCAAAATCGAAAGGGCCGTAGAATTGCGGGGGGGGGGGACGGGACAGGGATTGCTCTGGCAAATTGCAGAGGTCCCTGACAATTTTGAGGGTCTGTCTTGCCCTGAAGAGGCCCCCAGAAAGCAGTTTTTTCCCCCCCTCTCTCTTTTTCCGTTGTAGGCCCAGCATCGCAGTCGGTGGAGATGTTGCGTGAAATGATCAAAGCCGGCATGAATATCGCAAGGCTGAATTTCTCGCACGGATCGCACGAGGTACTGAGGAAGGGAGGAAGGGAGGAATTAGAGGGGAAGGAGAGAGGAAGGAAAGAACAAATTAGAGGGGAGTAAAGGAAGGAAAGAAAGAAGGAAGGAAAGAAGGAAGGATCAGGGAGGGATTAGAATGGAAGGAGAGAGGAAGTAGGGAAGGAAGAAAGTGGAAGGAAAGGGGAAAGGAAGGAAGGAAGAAATTAGAGGGGGGAAAAGGAAGGAAAGAATTAGGGGAAGGAGAGAAGGAAGGAAGGAAGGAAGAAGGAATGAACAGGGAGGGAGGGATTAGAATGGAAGGTATAAAGTGGAAGGAAAGGAGAAAGGAAAGGAGGAAAAAGGAAGGAACAGGGAGGGAGGGATTAGAATGGAAGGAATAAAGTGAAAGGAAAGGAGAAAGGAAAGAAGGAAAGAAGGAAAGGAGGAAAAAGGAAGGAACAGGGAGGGAGGGATTAGAATGGAAGGAATAAAGTGGGAGGAAAGGAGAAAGGA